ATGGCTGGAATGCTCTCATCATTCGGCGCCGTAACTTCAACAAAGCAATTCCTACCCTGGCAGTAGAAACGCTTTGAAGTGACGATTATGTATACGAAGTTCATGCGTTTCACGCGCGGAAGCGACTCCTCGATCACGGTGTAGTGAAATTATTCTATTTATTTATTTATTATAGCCGAGCAATCGATGAAACCAATATGCGAGAAAAGATTGCCACAAAACCTTGGTCCAAGCGTATCTGTTAGTGGAACCCCACAGAAAGGAAATCCCTAAAACATTTCCGGATCCGACTGGATCATGTGAATCGATTGTTGGAAAAACAGACTAAACAGCGAGACGTTTTGTCTATCAGAAAGTTGATGAACAGCTGATATGGTTATTCAAAGACAGATTCTAGGCTATTTCCAAACGGATTAGATCACTGTGTAGACGAGTAATAACTTAAAGAATGTGTTTATCATGTCGCCCAACTTTTGCCAGTAACAGTGAAGTAAACCAAGCTTCGCAGGAAAACAGGACTATTGATATTTGTGTAGGTTTCATTGTATTCGCTTGTGTCCGATGGTGGAGTAGACCTTCAATGCAACTTCACACATTGCCACATTAAGAGGACAATCAAGAATAGGCCGGGAGGTAACGCAATTTGCTTCTATTATTATAAAACAATTCGAACGCTTACCGTTATTTTCTCTAAACACATATGTGATCGACTTTCATTGTTTTTGAAATCGCATAAATCGCTTAGGTAAGCAGAGCTGTTGGAAGATGCAAAAATACTAGGTGTAATATCTTACTCATAAGGCTCCTGAAATTCGTTGGGAAGTCCATAAACGGTTTCGCACTCATTGGGGCTTATCAGGCAAGTCAGACCTCCGAGTTTCAATAAACATTATGGATGGATGGAATTTGTCAAGTGCTCTGACACAATACTTGGTTTTGGCGGGCCACTTATCTGAAACCAGGCGAATGTCTCGTTTATGCTCGTATTCTTCAACTGAAGAGTTTTTAACAATCTTATGGGTACTGTGATATCCCGAATATCATACCAAATGAAGCATAAGGCGGCCTGGTGCATCACACTCAGCTGAAGAACAGCGTCATTAACGAGAGATTTAGCTGGGTACCAGGTGAGTCTCCCATCAAGACTACATTATTGTGCAAGAATACTTGGCCGATCCAGAAATACTGCTTTCTTCTATCCGGTTTCAAGCTGTGGCCACCGAAATGAATGAACTCAAGGAAACTATGATTATGCTCCTTCAAAGGCAAATCACTTTATCACTCAATGTCTGGAAGTAAAAAACAGCTTTCCTTGAATTTGGCTGATTGAGGGGAACGAAGTGGCTGATCCACGATAATCCGCTGAGACGTTGCTCACTCTTGCATTGCAAAATAATGCTTTTGAGTTTAGATCTTACTGCAATCGGGGAATAAATCCTGGGGCTACAGAATTTCGTAAATTTGCACACTGGCATACAAGTATGCCCCACGGGCTTTCAGACAGACTGAGAGCAGAACCATAATTTAATCGGTCTGGGACATTTGTGTGACGGAAAGAAAACCAGCTTTTGATGGAGTGGAAGGTGTGGGCACAGGAACGCTTTTTCCGAAAATCCACATGTGGTGATCATGGGGGACAATGAAAACGGTTTCAACAGGGATTATGCAGCATAGTATAGCATGGCACAGTATGGTATACTATATTATAGTATAGTGTGGAACAGTATGGTATACTATGGTAGTGTTTGCTGCTTTGCTAGTTCCGCAGGATAAGAAGCCAACCAGCCCCGACGGCAACTGAGTAATCTACGGGTAATGGCCTCATCACAAGCTCGCGGCCCAGGCACATAGGATGGCCCGGATACCTTACAGCTCACGCATCTGCGATCTTTAGTCAAACTGATCTACGGACAGGAAGGGCGGTTTCTCTTTTATTTTTTCTAATCTACGATTTGGAAAACTTCTTTGTGGTCATGCGGCAATGGAACAGCTGCAATGACGCTGAGGGTGTCATCGATACGCTCATAGTCGTTGATTTTCGCAAATTGGATTTTGGAAATTAGACACCTGGGTTCAGGGCCTCATCACTATCCTCGTGTTTATGTGCTTTAGAAAACCCGATTGACCAAGAATTACAATGAAAACAAGAGTAGAGCATGCGAACAAGGACAGAACCTTAGGTAAAGCCATATCAACTCGATACCGTAAATTGAACACGAGCAACGTAGTGAAACCTGGTACAGAGACGGTGAAGTCAAACACTGGCAGTATGCAACCAGGGTTAAGAAGGACACTTAATCTCGTTACGAGTAAGTCACTTTGGTCACATGTACCCCAAAGTATGCAAAACAGTCCTGAATCTAGCCATATGACACATGACTAGCTTCAGCTACTCATAACGAACTGAAAAACAAGGTACGCCGACGACGATAAGCTATGCTATCTAGGGAAGATGAGGCCGTTCAAATGAATGGACAAGTTGGCTGCAAGCGTTTATGTACCAGTGCATGCTCTGCGGTGGATAAACTGATTTGAGACAATGTACTGCGATAATCTGAATATCGTATCAACTGAAACATGAAACAACTCCAGTGTAGTACACTCAGTTGGAGAAGTTTGTCAGAAAAGAGGGATTTCGCTGTGACGAAGTTAAGTCTTCGGTTAAAACCAGATTAATTGGCAAATGAGTGTATCGCTTGAAATGTGTACAATTTGGGTTCAAACAGGACCTAGGGATCACGGAAGCTCGGGGGCTGCGGCTACGTGATGAAATTTGAGAAGCGCGCATCCTTGCCGCGGCATGTCGAGGAGTTTTCAACAACCTTATGGGTGGTGTGATCCGTCAAGACGATGAGATGAACTAGGCCACCAATTCAAGTTCGCACTTCGCAGTGACCTGTCGAGATCATCGTAACCAAAGCATTGTTAGTAAATTAGGGAAATACTGTCTGTCAGATAGTTCCCCGACAAGGTAAAAATGACTGCAACGGAAGACCTTTCCGTCATGTCACTTTAAGCCATCGTCAAAGATAGATGTGCAGTTTTCCCCCTAGTCCTGAGCTGGTGGTTTCTTTAGTGCTTCATCATCCATAGCAAAGAAATACCGATAAACCAACAGTACTTTTTATGGTGGAAAAGACAACGTTTTTAGTACCCAAATTCGAATCCCGATCATCAGCATGCGCACTAACGATGTCCACCTATACTGTGACAAGAAGTTTGCATACCAAACGATCGCCAAGTTCGGTGAAAATATCAACTGCCACTTGAACAACCGACATACTGCCAATGATAAATTTTGTTTTAATTACGAGTGCTCTACTGAAGCTGTCTTTTAATTTTCAGTTGATTTCAATCCAATGGGTTTGATAGGTTCCAAGCCACTGTATCCCCAACAAAAGCAGTTTACTTGGGTTTCACGTTGTGCACTCCTCCCAGTGGTGATGGCATCAGATTGAATGAGGCCTGAGAAGCTCTGATATGTTACGCGTAAGAATGGACTCGTAGCGAACTTGCGAACAAACAATGAAGTTATTCACACAGCGGTTGCTCAGCTGCAATATAGATGTTCATGAGATTGTACTGCATCAGACCTACAGTCGGCATAATGTATTCGCACTGCACTGTGCGCATACATTGCAAGAAGACACACTGGTGGTACGACTCAACAGCTGTTGTGACATGAAGCGATTCAGAGGAATGTGGTACGACCGCTGCGAATGTACATACATTCCATAGCAGTTGGAGTTAAATGATCAGAGTGATGAGCAGAGCAGATGCGACTAACGTATGCGTGCATGTCCCACCTCGTAAGAAAAATGTGCACACTGTATTACTGACTGAAGATGCTTGGTGTAAGAACAGCTATTTGCCAGCGAAACAAAAACAAGGTCTGCCAGATCACGCTTTGAGCTGTTGTGGCTCCGCTAAAAAGATGTATTTACTAGTGTTTTTCTTTCAAGTCCCCAAAGAGCAACACTTCAATGCGAAGGGTTGTGAAGAAACACACCACCGAGCGTTTGTCGACCAATTTTCGATATGCCACACCACCGAGCGTTTGTCGACCAATTTTCTACATACTGATGGTGGTATCAAACCGGACGAAATACACCAGAGCACTGGTTACTGGCCAATGCGGATATTGCAGTCTGAGTAGACATATGTAACGCCGACCGGCCCAACCAGGGCCAGGCGAATAACAAACCGATAGAATTCACGGAGCGAAAACGTAGTAGTCCATGCTATAGGGAGATGGCTGTGGTTAGAACGCGGATTTACTAACCGGAAGGTTCGTGGTTCGAACCCGACCTCCGATTCTCGATTTCCCCTATCTAGGCTTGGGGAACTTGACGGTACCCCAGTCCTCATGCTTTCTTTGGGTGGCAGGGCAGCTAAGCACCGAAAGGGTGTTACAGCTGGACTATTTTTCATGCAATACAAATCCTCAAGATCTGACAAAGACTACGGAATACAGCTTATTCTACCCGCCGGTCATACCTAGCTCTTCTGAAGTGACGGGCTTAAGTGGCGTCGGAAAATGCTATGAATGTGTGGTGGAGGTAGGTTCACATGTTCGCGACTAGAGATGCGCACAAGCGACTGAGAATGTCAGGAGTTGCGTCAAACATCTGTACCACACAGTCGAGTAGCCGGACTAACGAAAAATGGACGATGAGTCACCTTGTCCGTGCATTGTTTCCATACTATCCGAGAGAAGAGCGAGAGCTGAGATATCGTCCGGTTGCATAAGCCCAGAGAAGAGCAGTCAAAGAGCGCACTAAGGAACTATGGGTTATTAGGAGGCAACATCTTGACTGCCGAGCTGTCATGTTTATTAGGGATAATATGAATGACGCACTGATATCTGGACATTTAGTTGCTGAAATCTCAAACAGCGCAGCATAAGAGGCCCCATACGACAAAGACCTGTGGTGATGAACAGAGATAGGGCAATAAAACTGCAGGCAGACTGGTACGTTAGATGAAGGTAAAAAGCCATAATGTCCAGCAAAATAAACTTGAAGTTCGACGCACGTCAGACTCCCGTGCCAACCCAACTGCACGAGAGTATTTCGCAACCGCGTCACGTGATACGCAACGTCGTTAGCGTGTTACACAATAGGGCTGCGGCATACTTTCAGTGTAGCCTGTGCATGTATCATCCACTGCAAGTAAGACCTCAGAGCCTGAAAACACCAGCACAATCAAGGCTAGATTATCAAACATCTGTGCGAAATGATGGACCTGAATGCGAGCTTCCGGAGTGAGTTCATTTTGACGTAATCTAGTATGGGAATATAAGGCTGCTTTTACCCTTTCATCCTGGGCTAGGTTGCGACCGACTTCGATAACACATCTTCCAGCCAAATATAAGCACAGTGACAACGGCTATTAAAAAAAAGGTTATCCTAATCAAATGGACCGATCGAGTACAGTACAACCAAGAGCAATGGAAGAGGAGTGGGCGCTTCAGTGCACAACCTACCAATTATCAGACCGGCCCAATGGCCGATTCATTTGGAACCAGATAAGAGAATGGGAGAAATCAGAAAAGACCAGGAAAATCGGACGGGCTTCCAAAATTTCTATTCATTGCTATTCAAGGACAATCGTGGTGTAGAATTTTCAGGCGGAAATTCTGGCGATGATAATAACAATTTCTGAAATATTATTTCCGTGGTTCATAACGGATCCCACTATTGCCATTCTAGGACTGAATTCTACCACGGTGATGACAATCAGTGTTCAACACTGATGCTTCACTGTCAGTCCGATTCACACAGTCATACAACAAAACAGCCCGCACAGTAGCTTGATACACACGTTTCCTGAGATTTAAGGACACACCACTTTGACACCATAGGTGTCTCAGATTAGTAAATGCGACCAGAGCGTTCCAGATTCGTGAATTGACCTCATCTACCACACTACAATCAGAACTAATACAACTTCCAAGATACGTAAAATCTCCACAACTTCCAGTACCTCTCCCTGGATTGTAAGTTGCGTGTTCAGTGACTGCATGTCCACGAGCAGGACCTTACACTTTGTGGGTGCAAAGTGCGTACCAAAAGATAGGATGACTTTGGTCAGCCCATCCAAAAACACCTGCGTCTTCTTCTCCTTGTGAGTCGGTGACAAGCTTGGAGTAGCGAAGCAGGCAGGCAAGAGAGCCGGCTGCCTACTGATGTTCATAATGGCAGTTGAAGACCATCCAGTTAAATCACGTAGCAGAGATAACAGCTCCATTAAGTACGTAATTGGGAAACGATGATGTAAAACAAAAGTTCATTTCGAATTCCCTTAAATTGTCTGAGCGCGGATTGAAAACCCCACACCAGAGGAAAATACCATGCAATCTTAATATATGCACCCCAGTGTATGAGCCCGCTGGATTGGCTGATTCTTTGTCCATCTCGGTGGTCACCACTTTGGACGCCACAATCTATATCATCACAAGTGATCTGAGAAGAGCAGATAGTTCCCTTTTAACCTTCTTTAGCTCAACGCTCAACTTCAGTATGTGTTGGTAAATAACACCGATATCTCTGTTACAAACAAGCGCACCCCACTTGGCAACGCGATTCACTACATTCTGACTCCTTCTAACACAACCTGCTCGAACTAGAGCATCGTCGCTTTAGCGCGGTAAAATTGCAGCTCATTTATTAATACAGGCAGTTCAGATGGCATGCGGATTCATCCGGTGGTATAACCATTTGCATCACCCTAAGCAGAGCTTTTAAGAACGCGGCCTGCTGCTCCATATAACGGTTATACGATCTACCGTGGTACTAGCAAACTTGGATATCACACACCCCAAGCAGTAATACTGAATCCATGTGGCACTTTCAATCTGTCGAAGGATTCTGCTCTATGTAGCAGCAGAGCATGCCAAGGTCAGTGGTGCACTATAGACCTCGCACAACACCATCCAGTGTTCTTTACTTTCATTTGGACTTCCAGTCCTGGAGACTATTTCACCCCTAACGAGGTATACACAATCGAAGTGTGCACACAAAAACTCCATTTCGTGAGTTTCAGGTAAGAAAGGACTCAAACTAAGAGGCAAAATGAGTAATAGTTGGTGAAGCGACGAGTTATGTGATTGTATTTAGCAGTTTCCATTATTACCTTTACCAGTACCTGTGATATCCGACATAACGCCCATGTATAAACAACTGTCGGAGGTCAGACTAATGATAAAAACATTTAACAAAACTCAGAATGAAACGTGTTTCACGACGTAGTCTTTTCTCTTTTCTCATTAAAACGAAACAGCTGGGTGCGTTTGTCACTCCATCGCAATGTCGAAAGTAAATAAAAACACATTCGTTCGTTAATTTTATTAACTTTGCTAAAAGAGGTGAAAGATCTGTAACTCTAGGGGTAAATTGTTGTGCCCTTAGGTGAGCACGCTTCCAAGGCAAGCACCATATTTTGGCCGATCTCGAGAGCGTATGCCCTTGGGGGATTCAGTACGTTGTACGTGGTAATATCCGGAAATTTAGCCTTGCGTTAGATCTGTGGGAATATTCGAATATGCTTGGAACACAAAGTAGATAGGTGACTGACTGCCCAACAGTTACAGAAAAAACGTACCATAGGGTGAGAACACGAAGTTCGGGTACTAAGGTCACGGGAAAGCACAGGTGACTACCTACTAACACAGAGCGAGTAGTGAAAATATGAAGCGGATTACGCCAAGCAGCATAGGTTAGGCCCACCTGATCTGGCGTTTCGGATGATGTGCGCAATCTTTTCCAGTTTTCCGGTCAATGGAATACGGATGAAGCTCCTCATCATGCCTCCTGATTGGCGTGCTCTCAAGAACAGCCTATGCAATAAGTGTGCGTGTGGTTTCACTGGGTGCAATTTGGTGTGCGTCTTTGTTCCGAATCATCGTCCTGCGACCGTGTCTCGTGATAAGTCCAAAACAGATGAATGGGAGGTTCGTTCCATCACGCCGGTTGACAAGCTTTAGGTTTATGTCTCAATGCAATCTACTTAATAAGAGAATGCTGACTGGAATATGAGTGGGGCTGCATGGCTCGAGTGTATGAAGTATGATGGTTCGGTTAGGCTCTCCAGCATGTGCTCCATGATCTGTACCTAGAGCTGGCTGTCTATGTCGTCTAGTTATCTGACCGGACATTCTGCGCGCCGAATTCTGTGTGGTGTTTGGGTCCATTGGGGCTTTCGAACATTAAGGGGTGGCGTTGTACTGTGCAGTCGATTCGGTGGGGCGCTTTAATGTTGGACTATGGAATGATTTTGGATGGGCGTCAGAAAAGTCTTGAATTTGACGCCTGAATTCGACCTCGCTATCTTGCCGTTTCGTAGAGTGCCTTCCATAGTATCTATTCAAAATCGTTCAGTTGTAACACCCCTTCGGAAGGGGGATGTGACTCAATGATTACAGCGCGAGGGACCGGAAGGTTCGTGCTTCGAACCAGACCTCTGGACCTCGAATTCCCTTGTCTAGGCTTGGGCAACCTGACAGTATCCATGGCCTCGTGTTTTCTTCGGTTGGATCGGCAGCTAAGCACTGGAAGAGTGTTACATCTGAACGATCTGTGTATTTATATTTTGAGGGATCCTGTGCCCGGCTGTCACGCCACCCGAAGGAAGCACGAGAGCTGGGATACTGCCAGGTTGCCCAAGCCTAAACAGAAGTAGAGATGCAGAAAAAAGACTCGAAACACGGATTTTCCAGTCAGCAAATTTGCGATCTAGCCACTCAGCCATTTCGCTGTATTAAATCCTCCGGACTCGTCTGCTCATGTGGATCCGCCTCAGTATAGCTTTTTGACATGATCCACTAAGCAGTCGACGATTGCACAACTGGGACAATTTCTGCAACAACCAACTTTTCAGATTGTGACAAGCCTTGATAGAGGATGCCCACGGCATCCGACATCCCACTATACTGCACTACAGTATACAAAGGTATTACACTCTACTATGCCCACTCATACTATTTCCATATTACAAATCACGAGGCACTCAATTTGTTTGATAATCTCCGAACCATTGTAAAAAATGAGGAGTAAAAAGTCACAAAACATTGTTGCAGCTACCTGCTTGCGCCGAAATTGCACTGGATCAATCAAGATAAAAAGTCAACCAAACAATGGACTGAAAGGTTATTAAAAGGGCGCTAGCAACCTCGACTCCCTGGTACAGGGCACATTGTGGGGCACAATTGCCCGCAATCACAAAGGCAAAGTTCATATCGCCGTGTATTGGAATTCGAAAAACTGGTTTATTGATCAATTCTGTTTACTTGTTGCACACGCACGGAATAAATTGATTTCGAATGATAAGAACAGGCCGAACTGCATCAACTGAACCAACAATAACACCAATGAACCAATACGGTCCTCTGATCGACGCAGATAGAAAACAGGCATAAACAGTGTAGTTAGGAGTGGAGAAGTAAGGCAAGTCTTTCTTCAGAGCTAATCCATCATAAAAAGAAATCTCCCTTCAGTTCTGAGTACTATTACTTGATAGAGAGAACCAATTTGGCCACATAACACAGACGCGAAAATTCCTTACATTTTCGTATTTCTTTCTCTCTTTCTGTTCCCTTCTTTCTTATATTACAGTTGGCAAGATATCCGAGTTATCACAGTGTGTCCTCTTGACATAACACAGTACTCATGAGCTCTCCATCGTCGAAGGACTTTCAGCGGCCATATGAGTAGTGTGCATTATTCAGAACTTACGTATTGTTGGTTTTGATGACTGTAGGGCCTTGCGGAACGCTTCAAGAACGACATTCTAATATTCAACTTCTTGTCACCACTTAAGAGTCAGCCCTAGTCAGTTCCGATCACATGTAACGTATCACATTGTAACGTATAGCCTCATAGCAAGCAGAACTTCTGGTAAACAGGGAAACGATACTCAGGTAGGGCTGTGACGCAGGTGATTTTACTTATCTGTTGTCAGCTTTACACACAAGAAACTATCCGGGGCCGTTATTCATGACGACAGCTACGTTAACTGGGCGGTGGATGACGGACTGTAATTGCGCAGCATGAGTTGAATCAATAAATTTAACTTATCAGCCATAAACCGTGAACCACAGGCAGAGTGGTTCCAGCTGGCACAGTCCAGATCATCGGTGCAACCAGGTAGGAAAGCACTGCCAAAAAAGCAAAACTTCCAGCCCTGATGCTAGTTCGATGCAAAACTACTAAGCAATCCAAAGAAAGAAAGCCGCTAAACTGCTCCGCATCTAGATGAGCTAAAGATGGTGTTTGATCTGAGAAATATTAGGTGAGGACATCTCACATTCAGATGCGCGCTCTACAAAATTCAGAGAGAACATAAGGTTGACGGAAACCTGGAGGCTGCACCTACCTGATGAGCCCCCAAAAGGGCAAAAACAGTCGTGGGCTGCCGTACAGTTTTCAGCAACTTTGTGAGTACTTTCCTCCAGAGAGAACAGTTTTTTTCTGGGATTCTTCAGGACAACGAATGCATCGGAGTGCAGGTCATGGTGACTTCCAATAACTGGTTACACACACAGATCGAATACCACCTGAGTTTGAACAGCCATACGCGGTAGCCATCAGCTGCTACTCGTGAATCGCCATCTGGTCTGCAGACTACTCTGGTAGCGAATTCTACTAGATGCATGTGATCTATATACTCTACCTTCAATTAGGAAAGTTACAATTTTAAGTGTCAACGGATGTATGAAGAGATTGGTAATCAAAGCAGTCCCAAGTACATGACTGCTGTTCAATTCGTTGGAACGCAAAGGGATGAGAGTCAAGTCCCAAATGATCGGAAAGTTATGTTGCCAACTGACATGTTCATAGGAAATTTTCATAAGGAACTCGTAGGGAGTAATCCACTATTCTTTATCATAAATGTCCCAAAAAGACTGCCAATCACCTGTTGAGATCCGGCGATCAGCCGGTTTTCATGTGTAACTAAACATCAACTTTGCCGCAGATGAAAGTCTGACCAGCTGGCACCAAAGTTTAGACAACGTTCTACCCGAAGCTGTAGTTACAGATCATACTGAAGGCTAGGTTGACCAATCCGGTATCATACATAGTAGGAACATACGTAATGCTATTCTGACTAAGTCTTGTGAGTTCGTAAAAAAAATTATTGCCAGTAGGCGAGTGGAAACTCAGACCATGCTCCAAAACGCGGTTTTCTGCGACTGTGTTCACCCTCAGCGTTCTTACCCGAGAATTCTAACGGCGCTCTAATGATGGTGACAAATTTGTTGAGATGCACATTTGAGCAAACGAAAACGAAACTGAACTCACGGCTGATCAGGCGTGAAAATTATCTCGATGAGGTGAGCTTAGTCACTAGGGTGGGCTTTGTTGATCAATCCTAAATAACAGAGCATACCGTGTCCTCAGTCCTAAGATCATTAAAACACAGTCTCATTGGACCTCTCCACACTCGGTGATATTGACACTACACACTGTGACAACTTTGCTATCGCTGTACCGTTCAAGCGACAGGTGTGTGCCATTGTGTTTGGACTTGGCGCGTTCACGTGCCGCATCCTGAGGTGAGCGAACCAGTGGGTGCCACCAAGCATTAGAAAAACTGGTTTAAACCAACTTATTAACTGGCGACCCACTCAACATATTCATTTACCGTGGCAATACTACGACTGAGCGGTTTATATTGTCATCGTGAAGTGAATCAGTCACAATGGTTCGCGAGTTTCAAGCGATTTAAGGACCACAAATGAACTAAGTGTCCCTCGACTGGCACATTACCTTTCGACTCATTCAGGATGAATGTTCTTTTCTTGTCAATGAAAAATAAACAGCCACTCAGCTGGAACACCCACTCGGTGCCTAGCTGCCAGGCCACCCGAAGAAAGCATGAAGACTGAGATACTGTCAGGTTGCCCAAGCCTATCTAGGAGTAGTCAAGATGACACGATTGGGTTCGAATGGCGGATCTTCCGGTCAGTAAGTTCCCGTCTTGACCACTGAGCTAGTTTGAGCTTAGTACTTAACGCATCCATACAACGGTCTTTTGTTTGGCTCAGT